CAAAGGAATATGTGCAAGCTTCAATCTACAGCTAGCTGATTTGATGACGTAAAATGTGACGTCATTGTTTCCGTTTTTGCACTACTCATGTTCAGTGGGCTGATAACTAGTTCTTTGCCCAGGGCCCCAAACCCATAAGTTGTGACACTCATAATCAGTTGAAATCATAGGCAATTCTGTTACTAATATAGTAATAAGTGAATTAATTAATAGATAATACTACTGCATTATGCACACAAAGAACCACTCAGTTTGACCTAAATCGGCCATGACTTATATGACTACTTCATAGGAATTCAAGACCATGCCATAAGCATTATTTAATCATAGTTAATGAAGAGACTTTTTATTTTAAACTCAAGGACAAGAAAAGCTCATCATGTGCTTACATTTGTAAGTTCAAACATAGCTACTTGTGTTTTAGTATGAAATTGATGTACATGCTGTTAAAGTCATAGCAAAACAAAGAACAATGATTTAAAATAAACTTTTATTGTCAAAACTTGCATAAAAGTAAAAATATATGTAATATAAAAAATAAATGATTAAATATATGGAGATAATGAAATTTAGTTTGTCAGATAAAATGTGTAAAAGGAACTCCACTGAGGTTTTTTGACATGATGAGACTGAAATTTATTTTTCTAGATTAATGTACCACTTGATGTATGTTTTGACCACTAATCTTTGAGAAAAATTTCAGATCATTTGCGCACTTCGTTTTTTCAAGAAATAATTATTCAAATTGTAAAAAAAATTACCCAAAATGAAAGCGTTTAAACACATATCACGCAGATCAGGCTGAGAAAAGCATAAAAAAATTGATTTTCAATTCATTTCAAAGTATATTTCTTCACTATCTGTGCATATATTTCTGTATCAAGTGCCCCGGCTCATTTCTGTAGAAATTCAAAATGTTATGTTTTAGGCTTTTAAACCTCAATGGAGTGAGTCCCTTTAAATTATTGGTACATATTGAGGTGATACAAGTTATAACAATTCTGAATGAAAGAAGCTTTAATGCAAACGGCCAGTAATATAGGAGGTGCTGTTTTAAGGATTTTTTTACATACAAGACTGACATTATACAACAAAATATAGTCAAAAGTAGAAATGTGCCCATAGGACTTGAATGCCTGCGTTAAGAACAATGCTTATATTGAGTGGGTAATCAAAATATGTACATAATTAGACAAGCCCACTGGCAGCATATATCAAGTCTGTTGCCATTATTCAGAACTGAACCTTAAAGCTTCAGATTGGGGAGAAAGATGTATACATAAGTGAGCATTTGTGATAAATGTTATGAAAATCCAGCCATGTATATAGAAATATACTCTCATGTTTTAAGTTATTATTTGACTTTTGATCCAAAGTAGTGACCTTGATCTTTGCAACAGACACCTGATTTTTCATACTACACTCCAACTCACTAAAGACTGTTTAATTTTGTCCAGAGTTATATGAAAAATCTTTATAGATTTCAAAAGCATTCAAATATTATCAGTTATAAATCAATTTTTTTGCATATGATTTTGGTAAGGAATGCATAATGTTGTATAAATTTTGTGGAATGTAACTGAAATCATACTTGACCTGTGTTTTGATATATTGTTGAATATACCAGTTATAAATTGAATCCTTAAAAGGTGTACAAATCTTATTGGTTAGCTTACAAGAGCATTTCTGTTTTCATATTTTACTAGGTAAAGTACAAAGAAATGATATTGTTATAATTTTATGAGCCATCACATCAAACCGTGATCAATGTAATATGAAGTATGGGAAAATAAGTAACAAGAAGTGCATGTTTAACTAAACAGAATGTATGATTCAGAGGAACACTGTAAAAATAAAGTAAATAATGTTTAAAAAAAACAACAAAAAAAAACCATAAAGTTGACCATCATTTGGACTTTCATGAGTTGGCCATGCTAATCTTAGAATAAGAACATAAATAAAATACAACATTATACAAAAGGTAGTACAAAAAATACAATGATCAAAAGTTTGAAAGTGAACACTTGTTGGTAAAATAAACAAGAATTTGTAACAGAGATACCAACGTCCCCCGCCTCAGGGAAGTTTATATGAAGCAAAAAATTGTGCTATTTCAAAAGATTGAGGCAGGGATCTAAGGATTTTCAGTCCAAAATTATGATCAATGCTGGATCTGCAAATGCAACAATAAATTTATTAAAGAAATAAAATGAAATACTGAATTTCAAAATATATCATGTTAAGCTTTGCAGGGATTTTTTGGCTTATTTTATAGCCGTTATTGGGACATATTCCCAATTGAAAATAGTATATTATTTTCCCAATCCAAAGGAAAAATATTCCCAATTGAAAGTTACAAAAAATATAAATATTGAATAAAGAATTCTAAAAATCTTTGAAAATAAGGGCTTCTTTACTGTAATAGTGTTTAAATGTTTGAAGAAGCCATCCTAGGCAGTGATTGCTTGCATACAATTTAATCACTGCAAACTTTCAGTCATACATTTTTTCCCAATTTTAACAAAATATCGCTGAAATTCCCAGTTGCATGGGTATGGGTTATGTTCCCAAAATCCTGGAAAAAATCCCTGCTTTGACCTCTAAGTGTGACCTTGACCTTGGAGGTAGGGGTGCAGGTGTTGTGCATGACATATCATCTTATCATTGTGACTATTTGTGCCAAGTATTTTCCAAATCCCTTCATTTATGAAGAAGTTATGGATGGGGCATAAAATATACCATATAACAGACTTTGTTACCTTTATACCTCTAAGTGTGACCTTGACCTTGGAGGCAGGGGTGCAGGTGTTGTAATTGACATATCGTCTTATTATTGTGACTATTTGTGCCAAGTTATTTCAAAAATCCCTTTGAACTATGAAGAAGTTCTACATTGGACACAATATATACCCTTTAAAAGACTATGTTAATTTTTTACCTCGAAATGTGACCCTGACCTTGGAGGTAGGGATGCAGGTGTTGCGCTTGACACATTGTCTTATTATAGTGAATATTTCTGCCAAGTGTTTTCAAAATCCTTTGATATACAAAAAAGTTATGGACCGGACAAAAAAAAACCCTATAACAGGCTATGTTAATCTTAGACCTCCAAGTGTGGACCTTGACCTTCTAGGTTGGTGACCGATTGTTGCGCATAACACATCTTCGCATTGTTGTGAACAATTGCGGCAAGTATTTACAAAATCCTTTCAAAGATAAGAAAGGTAAAGACTGGACACGAGATATACCCTCAAATGGACAATGTTGACCTTGAATGAGCAAGTGTGACCTTGACCCTGAAGGTAAGGGTCTGGTTGTTGCACATCATCGTCTTATTATAACAAACATTTGTGCCAAGTTATTTCAAATTCCTTCAATAAATGACAAAGTTATGGACCGGACACGAAATATACCCTGTAACAGGCTATGCTAATATTTGACCTCCAAGTGTGACCTTGACCTTGGAGGCAGGTGACCTGTTGTTGAGCATGACACATCTTCTCATTATTGTGAGCAATTGTGGCAAGAATTTACAAAATCCCTTTAGAGATAGGGAAGACCAGACACGAGATATACTCTAAAAAAGACAAGTTGACCTTGAATGAGCAAGTGCGACCTTGACCCTGGAGGTAGGGGTCTGGTTGTTGACATGTCTCATTGTCTTATTATAACAATCATTTCTGCCAAGTTATTTCAAATTCCTTCAATAAAAGCTTGAAGTTGATAAAGATTTGTTCATACATATTTCAACAAGATTGTTTGAACAAGAGGGCCATGTGTATATAGGCCCCTGGAGCGGGGCCAGTTTAAAACCCAGGGCTTTTATTTGACCAAACTTGTAAGACACCCGTTAGAAGATGTTTCATGATGTTAAGTTTTTACTACACACATATAATGTAAAACAAAGACCTCTGCACCACCCCCCACCCCGGCATGGCCAATTTTTATACAAGGGCTTAAATTTGAACAAATTTGGTCGACACCATAAGATGTTTCATGCTAAACATCTAGGCTCTAGCTCATTGGGTTTTTTAAAAGAAGATTTTTTAAGTTTTTTACTATACACAAATAGTTAAAAATAATGAAACCCCTGGGGTGGGGCCTTGTACACACTTACCAGAAGATGTTTCATGCTTAATATCTAAACTCTAGCTATTTAGGTTTTTTCAAAGAAGGTTTTTTAAGTTTTTGCTATACACATATAAGGAAAATCAATGACCCCCGGGGAGGGGCCAATTTTGACCCCAGGGGGCTTTTATTTGAACAAACTTTGTAGACACTTACAAGAAGATGTTTCATGCTTGATATCTAAACTCTAGCTATTTTGGTTCTTTAAAAGAAGATTTTTAAGTTTTTACTATATGCATATAGGGGAAAACAATGACGCCCTGGGGCGGGGCCAATTTTTGACCCCCAGGGCTTTTATTTGAACAAACTTGGTAGACACTCACTAGAAGATGTTTTCATACCTTTAAAAGAAGATACTTTGTCTAAGCTCTAGCTCTTTAGGTTCTTTAAAAAGAAGATACTTTAAGCTTTTTTCCTTTTGGTTGCCATGGCAACCATGTTCTATGAACAATATTTAGAGGTGACCACCAAAGAAAACATTCCTGTGAAGTTTGGATGAAATTGGCTTAGTGGTTTATGAGGAGATGTCATTTAAAGTGGACGCCAGACGAAAAGCGATCGAAAAAGCTCACCCTGTCACTTTGTGACAGGTGAGCTAAAATATTTAAGTGATCTTATTTTCCTGGTGAAAAACTGGTGGCTCAATAAAGTTCTATACATATTATGATATTTTCAAATATTGGAAAGTTATCTCTAGTTCTTGGTGAAAGACTGGTGACTAGTTTTCTCTCCTCAATGTCATTTCTTTTTCTAATTAGATTAAGTCATGGTACTATATTCATGAGACTTTCGACATCACATCTAAGAACTCATTATCCAACATTGCAAAAGGGCAGGCAGTCTCCTGATATTCCAATTTCTTTTTAAAGTTTTATAAAACCACAATATTTCTATTTCTTTAGTGTTTCAGACATGAAGACACATCTTATTCTACATGTATCTTTCCTTATCACTCCTGCTTTTACTGTTCTATCATATAAGCGCCTCTGTTTCCTGAAATATTTGTTAGAAAAAAGTTAATTGCAAAATTAAAATTCCACTTGTAAACCCTTGCCGAGAACAAACTTACAGCAGTGAAAGGCTTAAAGGTTTAAAATGAAGAAAACTAAACCAATCAGTCACAGACACCCCAAGTATTTTATCTATTTGCTAAGCAGCAATTTTTTCAAAATTATTTAAATTCATAAATGTGAGTGATTCTGATAAGCTATAGACAGCTAAGTGATGATAAGATGATCATATATGTCAGATATGTCGGAGTGCTAACATTACTTACTGTGAATATTCAATATTTTAATGTGAATTGTCCTGAGGTAAAAAGGAAAAGAAAGCTGAAATCCTAAATACATGTTACATGTCACAATTGTTCTTGCAATTAATTTTGTTTCCTAATTTCTTGTATAAGATATTTAAATACACTGTAATTCTTTTTTATAAATTTGGCTTTTTGTGACAATAGTCTATCCAGTGACCGAAGCTCACTGAATTAAAATAAACTGTCCTGTGTCAGCCTTTAAACAAGTCAAGAAAAAAAAAGCTATTAGAATATAATAATTAAGAAATATCATATACAAATACTTCTAAATAATCATGTACCTCTTCCTTAAAAGCCCATGCTATTGAAAGAGACATTTTTTCCATTTGTTCACTTCAAGGTTAGTCAGATTGACAGTCTCACATTTTAGCCTTTATCTCTCGTGATTTCATTGTCATTGACCCTAAAGCATCCTTAAAATCGATATCCTGCTGTTCACATTCATAAATCTGACATGTAGGCCGAACTTCTGAAACATAAAATATAATTATTATTAGATATACATATAGTTATCCCAATAATTATGTTAGTTAATATCAAATCAATAATTAAGCAGTGTTCGAAATTAGCAGTAGTCTGAGAGTCCGACTACTAAATTTCTCCTCGGGCTATCAACTTTTCACAGTAACAAGCCCGACCAGGCCTACTGTATTTTCAGAGGCAATATAAACAACTGTTTTGAACAAATGAATCGTGCTAGTGAAATGTCTTTTGGACAAGTGAATATTCCAATATAGTAGTCTGACCAGCCTAGTCAATTCAAATCCTAATTTCTTACACTGTTTAAGAAACAATTTGTTCAAAATTGTCCAAGCATAAAGATTTTTATAGTATACTATAGTAATTATAGTGTATATACAGTATGTATTAAATGTCTTTACTATCTACTATACTGTCCTGAAATTTTCAAGAAAACAACTATCTTTTAAAATCCATTTTCTCAGAAGTTGCAAAAAAACCAAGTGAATGAAATTGCTCTGGGTTTGTATTATTCTGTACAACTTCTGATCACAAAAGCTTCAAGGACATTTATGAGTGAGTCAGGTCCTATCCTGAAAAGATTGACATCATTGTTGTTCAAGTTTGAAGACAATCCATTCAAAAATAACAAATTATAGCCACTAATAGCAAAAATCAAGAAAATTTAGACATTTACCTTGAATGTTAATATGGTGGTCAAGTTTTATTTAGTTTAGTCTGGTCTATTTGAAGGGTTGTTGTGGCCAAGTATGAAGACAATACACCAAGATCTGAAAAAGTTATGAACAAGGTTAAAGTTTGATGACAGCAATGGGAAAGCCATCATGACTAACAATATATTTAATAATTTTGGCCCTAATGCAAACTGAAAATTCTAGCCTATAAACACTGTTGAGACTAGCTGTTTCAGCATTTTTTCAATAATAAATAAATGCAATAATAAAGTCGGTAACTTGCAAGTCTTCTAACATTTTTTACAAAGAATGAACATATATACAGTGATTTTTTTTACAAACTCATCAGTGTGGGTCCTTAGTACTCGCTGGGCTATAAATCTATGAGTCCCATAATTTAGCCGACAAATCCAAGTTACAAATCTTAATACTGCTTAAGTGATTATGACAGGTATATTAACAATGGATGGAGAAAAAAATGAATTTGATTTCTATATTAATTACAATGCTTCTGATACTGAAATTATTCAAAACTGTCAAATAAATTTAATATGTTTATTTCCATTAATTTAGTTTGTTATTAATCAAAACTTCATTTTCCTTAATATTTTTAAGCTTACCTATAGTATAGCACATTATTATATCTTAGCTGGACCTAGAATATGATTGACATAAGTTGAACACTATTTGGTATTAATTTTAATACCAAATTTCTGTCAGACAGGACTCCCTACTTAGAAAAAGTATGCATCCAAAAAGATGCACATTATTTGAAACTTTGCATCCATAGCAAATTCATTGAGTTCTGGACTCAGGATGCAAAGGTAAAAAAAATCACTGATATATATTTTTTCCTTATAATTCTACAATGATGTTCAGTCATTTATATTATAACAAGATATCGGAAAGATTATAGATATATCAGAAAATGAATTGGCCCGTGGACTTTAATGTCAATCATAGAGCTCTTATGCAAAATGTAATGGTAAGCAAACATCCAGCATGAAATTTTCAAGTAGCCACAAGTTAAATAAAATTATTAAAAATACTTTGTCATGATTCAATTACTGCTGGAAATTGACCCACATGTTTTATTACAAATTTATTACATCAATATTGTCCATAGAAATAATAAATTAATTTTCAGTCTCTTTCTCTTTGCGCTTTTCACACAGATTTGAATTATTCAAGTCCATGATTTTCAGAAGGAAAAAAATCTTCTGATCATCAAACACTAAAAAATTACTATACCAAATGCAAATTGCAGTCTGTGCGAAAGGCTGCCTGTCCTCGGACCTCGCCAAATAAAAATCAAGAGGGCCATGATAAATTTTTATACAGTTATCGAATATCAATTGTACACAACAGTTGAATATAACATATTATAAACTTATTTCTATCTTAATAGATAGTCTATATACAATAGAAATGAAAAAGCAAAATCCTTCACAAACAGTCAACACTGTAAATTCGAATCAGGGGTCAGATCGGCCCTTAAACGTATTTGGCCCTCGAGACAGCTCGGCCCTATTCCAACTCAGCACGGGTCAACTCGGCCCATAATTACATAATTACTGATAATGATTACTTTTCTTACTTTTGATATGTTTTCATCATAACTGTCATGGTTTTAACATTTTCACACTAACAGACATCTACTCAAGGATATTGAAAAGTATGTGAAATTGTAGAGAAAGAAAGAATTTACAATTTAAACGCATTTTATGCTACTCCAGATTTTTTTTGTAAAAAATATCGTTAAACAAGCATTTGCCATATTAAAAAACAAACAGTATTAAATACAATAAAATTCATTGTCACAAAAATTCAATCTAAAAACTCTATTTATTGATTAATATTTAACATATATTGTGTTGATATCTCTTCTAAAGATAATTATTTATCTTAAAGATAATTTCAAACAATATTTTATTAACTAAAACAATCTAAACAATCTATATCCTAATAGGCTATATGGTTTTTAATAGAGGACCGAGTTGACCTGTCCCGAGTTGGTATAGGGCCGAGTTTACCTGTAAATTCAATAATGTAAACAATCCTTGACCTAATTTCGTTTGTCTAACAAATTAACATCTGCAAACACAAAAACGATTTTGAACAAAGAAATAAAAGCATTTCCACAAACCTTTGCGATGTTATTCATCAGCAAATCTATGTCTTGGATGGAGAAATCTGAAAAACACGAACGTTATTCTGTCGATGGTCCGAACAATGGCGGGTGTGCCCTACTAGTCAAAAACCAAGTTTTACCAAATTGCATCCGTTAATTCCAGAATACCTTTGAAAGACTTGTAGTGTTACCTTGTTTTTTTATTATTTATATAATAATATTTTTGTTTCAAACGCTTTGATTCTATGAAAGTTTGCGAACCATTTTTTTGCGAAAAATAGTACGCTTTTTTAAGGCCACATATTGTATCCATTGTTTCCTCTTGAGTTATTGACGTAAAAAAAAATCAGCGGTGGCATAAAATGCTATTCAATAAATTGCTAAATATATACAATAAATACTTTCATTTCCCTTCGGTTGACTTACATGTGAATTTTTCAGCATCTCTGCTACACTTTATTTATATTCAATTTATTGTACATAGGTACATGGACACAAACTTTTCTTTGGCCTAATGCGTAATAATACTGATGTTTTTTTTTCGTACACGTTTAAGATTATGTTCCATTGATGTTAGCTAACATTGAATATCATCATTTCAAGTTTTTTTGAACATCAGCTTTTTCTTAAAGTCATCCACGTTTGAAAGTATACATATAGTTCTGCTGCACTACTTTCTTGGTCGCATTAACTACTTATTTTCTATTGAGCTTAAACAGAATGCAATTAGGTGTTGTTCGTTCTTTTTGATATAGGCAGACCGATAATATAGAAAGGAAATTTTTTTTTGAAAAAATTTCCTTCCAAAAATAAAAAGTTACACTTGGACAAAGAAGGTTTATAGCAACTCGTTCAATTGAAGACGACAAGTTTAAATATAATTATATAATTATTGAACTGATATATATACTAATTCTACTTTCGGCAAAAAAAATGTTACAGTTTTTTGCTAATTTTACAATAATGCTGGTTGAATTTCTAATGATCATGTCACTACCAGGTTCGGATAGAATACTTTCGGTTATTATAAGGTAAAGTGGGATAAATATGTAGCTATAAATAACGAGATTTAGTGTATACAGCATCTATTTTAGTTAGATATAAGCTTAATTTATAGCCAAACTCTCTCATCCGTTCCTGAAACTATCCACTCCTAAGCAATGAGTGTAAAATTTCTTGCCGAAAGGACAATGACTTCTCTTTGACGGGATTTATTTTCAAAAATTCGGTCAACAGTCACTCTAAAAGCATTAGAAAAAGGTTAAACTCACTGAATAAGCGTAGAACAGAGCTTTAATAGAGATGATAGCGACAAATAGAAAAATAACAAACCCAGAGTTCTTTTGAAAATCAAAGTAATAATAAATATATTAAAGTAAATCAAACAAAATCATTGAATACAATCAGTATTTTTTAACCTTAGTATGTAACCACAATCATGTGATAAATAAATGGAATGTTTTTATTTTTTAATACACATTGCAAAATCGCATACTGCCCGCAAACGGCTTCCTTTTATATTGATCAATCAATTTATTTTTTATTGCATTCTGTATTTGTTTTCGGTCCACAATTACCAACTTAATATATACAATTTACATGTACATCATTATCTAAATAAGAACCTATGCAAACATTTCATTTCCAGGCAGGAGGAACAGATTTTTAAAAGGCATTAAATCTCGACTTATAAAAGACTTGTATTTAATTATATAGCCTATGGACTGAAATCACTCTCAAATATATCAAAATACAAGTAAATAATTAATAATATATACAAAGCATAAGAAGAAATCAAAAACTTTTTTTAAATCACATTTATTTGATTTCTTTTTATTTCAGATTTCCTAGAATTCCTACCATGACTGTGGCATTCACATATTCATGTATTCATTTATTAAATAAAAAAAGCAGCTGAATTCACCAGTTATTGCATTCCTGTTGTTAACAGCTAAACTTCACATTTCCGTAATCGCTTAACAGTCGTCCAATCTGCGCCATATATTGTTAATTATTCACACTTTCGTGAATTCAATTACTATTTACTCTTTTATATGCAATCTCCTGACGCTTCCAAACATCTTTGGCAGACCTTTGTTTTGCATGTTAACGTTCATAGTGATTTCAATCATATTGCTGCATCGGCATGCATTATCTAATGCATGTAATAAAGATAACGTCTGTAACCATGGTAACCAGCTTTTACGTTGCAGTCTTTGAAAAAATAGCGACAGTCATGTTAGTCTTTGACTTCACCGACTCCATGCAACACAAGTTTTTGTTCTCGGTAGTAAACGACACTGGCGTAAAGATAGTAAAGCACTAAATATAATTGTAAATTTAGATTCAAATTGTTTACAATTGAATTAATTAAAGACGCAAATGGTTACAGTATTACATTTTTATTGAATTGTTCTTTACTTGAATCATTAAATAGATTAAAAATTGTAAGGATTTGTCCCATTTTCCAATGAAAAACTCTTCATGATATAGTGTACAATGAGAATGACATTTAAAAGGAACTAACATATGTCTTAGATAAACCCCAGCAACAATAACATATACCAAATTACTGACATGTGCAAACATCACATACCACAATATTTCCATCAGATAACTTCATAAAAAGTTAAACCTTTATGAATAACTTTTAACATACACAGTAATCTTAAGATTTCCATTCAGATACCGTTACAGAAAGACATCACTGTATTCAATGCGAACAATCGCGTTCGAGATGCCGACAAAAGTGCACATTAGAATCAGTAGGAAAATTCAGGAATTAAGACAAAAGTCCAGACTATCCAACGAGATAAAGATTAAATCGAATTAAGGAACTAAAAATGTCATGAGTACAATAAGCATTTTGTGCAAGACGATCTTCAATGATCGGGGAAATATGACTTCTCTGGTTGAAAACTTTAGTGCGTTGGGCGGAAGTTAATTGAACTACAACTTTAGACGGTCTCTGCCGATGAAAACATACTACAATGTATCAATATTAGGAAATTGTAAACTTTTGATTGATGACATTTAGAGGAAGAACTATTTCAAGGATAAATGCTACTGCACCAGCAACAGATTAAAATATCTCAAGTATCATTTGAGTATCAATGACAATTGTTTTGCATAATTTCTAGGATACTTATGGTTATAGAATTATGTTTATATTGAATTTTTCATTACATGGATTGAAAATTGTATGTAACATAATTTCTCTAATACCAATTACGACATATAGAATAAAGGAAGCCAAACCCATCCCTTGTAAACATGCAAATTTAATTTATTCACATCAATAAAGGCATACGAAACTTATTTTTCTGAGTGAAAAATAAAAGTACTAGCAAAAGAATAAAGCAAAACATTAAAACATCTCACGTGTCAATGGAACATCAATGAATATTGATAACATATTTTTTCATAATATTATAATATTTACGCTTTACACAAAGAAGAAAAACATAGTAGTTTGATTTAATCACTCATGAGGACATAATTAATTGTACTTCTGTGAGCCAACATTGAAAGCATGTTATGACTATAATGCTCTTACGAAGCTTCATTTATTATTATTATTATAACAATCTAACAGGATGGTTGTATCTCACAACTAATTATTATTATTATTATTATTATTATTATCATTATTATTAATTTTATTATTATTATTATTATTATTATTATTTATTATTATTAATTTTATTATCATTATTATTATTATTATTATTATCATTATTATTATAATTATTATTATTATTATTATTATTATTATTATTATTATTATTATTATTATTTGTTTGGTGTACCCTTGTAGAATGCTCAATCTTTTATTCAGCTTTTGTTTAATGAAGACTTACAAAGGGCCCTTGAAATTTTTATTATATTGTTTGCTTGGTAAAGGCGAAGGTAAATCGATTTTAAAGTGCATGTACTACTTAAAAGCACTTATTAAAAAAGTCGTCATTGTGTTTCATACAATATCTCCCCAGAATTAATGCCGTTTGTTGTCGTTTTCATTTTTCTGTCAATGTAACTCTCATTAAAAGCTGTATCATTGAAAATATTAATGGTTACTACTGAGTGTCATATATTTCAGACGTTCCGTCTTAATTGTTTGTAACCTAGATCTAGTTTAAAAGTGTGCATTATTCAAATAGGAGGAAAATATGATTTTTTTTTATCTTACAAATGTCGTCCAACATTTTTTTCAGAAATATTCGATTCTCATGTTCAGTTAAATTCAGATGTGAAAATGTGACTGACACCCGAATAAATCATTTCTTTATAATTTTGTAAAAAATGAATTATGATTTAAGATGAAATGACTTATGACTACATGTGCATATTTTTTAAATACATGTACATTATGATGGACAAAATTCGTAAAATGAATATTATACGGAGCTGCTGTTGTTCTTACTGCTGTTACTGCTGCTACTGTAAAAAAGTAACATATACATAAAAAAGCTCATGAAGATTACTTCATATCTACAAATATTTTATTTATTTGCAAAGCAATACCTTTGTCAGTATTTTTCTATCATTATGTCGTCAGAGAAGTATCAATTTATTTGACTGAACATCTTGTAGGTTTCACAGGGATTTCCTGACAATGTTTTGATTTCTTACTCGAAAGATTTTCAGACAATTAAGAAAAGTTGCGACGAAAAAAACAGAAAATTGCGCTATGAAGTGCTGCTCATCAGGAAATATGTCTGCCAATAGCCAAATCAGCAGGCTCAATTGTTGAATATTTCGTAGATGTAAGGAATCTTGTAATTCTAATAATCACAACATTACGTCATCAAAGCTTGCAACACACTTGAATGACTTCGAAATGTCAATCATTTGCAGAGTTAAGCAAGCAATAAGTGCTTTACTGGCGCACCTTATGTTAAGAAAGCGATTACATACATTGTGAAGGTCATGCCTTTATTACACAAATAACTGTTTGTTGTTGTTGTTTTTTTTTGTAAATAAAAGCGAACAGGATAATTTTCAATTGCGTCTTTCCAAAATGATAACTACTCTACGATAATAATCGTGGGATATTACCTAAAATTGACAGGTGTTGTTGAATGTGATACAATCATGGCATTCCAGTAAGGCATTAATAAATCTCGAA